GTCTCCTCAGGTCCTTCAAAACCTTCAACATCTGGTCTCCTCAGGTCCTTCAAAACCTCCAGCATCTGGTCTCAGGTCCTTCAAAACCTCCAACATCTGGTCTCCTGGACGTTTACAGACACATTTGAGAACCACTGCGTTGTTTTTACTGTTGAAGAAAACACCTGATAAATGAGTAAAATTAAAAGTCGACGTTCTTCCAACAGCTGCTCTCTCTTTGGCACTTTCCCAGAAACCTTAGAGTGGTATAAACAACTTGGGCAACAGTTGTTGTATGCTGGGTCTCTCCCATCTGACCTGCTGAAGCTCTTCTTCACAGTGGTGTCAGGGTCTTGGTGGTCTCTCATCGTTCTCCTTCTTCACGGTCACTCAGTTTGTGAGGACGTTCTGCTCTTGGTAGATTTACACGTTTCCCATTTTCCCTCCATTTGTTGATGGATTTAACAGAAGTGGGCGTGTTCGGTTTGTTTCACAGATGTCTCTCTGCGTAGTGACCAGTGTGTGTGTGTGTGTGTGTGTGTTTCAGGGATGGGACTGCTGTGTGTGTCTGGACATGAACGACTTCTACTCGCAGCTGGTCCCTGAGGAGGAGCGCCGTCGCGTGGAGAGCCTGGAGCCGTTTGATGAACACGAGGTTGGTTGCTCTGGTCGTGTTTTCAGTCGTAGAGACGAGCGTGAGCAGAACCTTCTGAATGTGTCCACCTTCAGGAGTGGCACGCCAAATGTTCCCACTACTTCATCCTCACGGCGTCCCGGGGCTCTTTGATGCAGCAGGCTCTACTTCCTGTTCCAGGTAGGAAACTTCCTTCAGAGCGTCAGATGTTTTGGAAGCTTGAGGCTGAACTTGTGTTTTGTTGCCTCAGTGTCTCCGGCGCCGCCCGTCAGCCCGAGCTGGAGCCCTGCAGCTCTGAACGTACGCACGGTTCCTGTGTGTCTGGAGGGCATGGGGATGGCCTCCACCTGGACAGGACCTGATCAGGTGCTGCTGACTGGAGGCTCCGGTAGAGGAGGCAGGAAGGCCGAGAGCAGAGCGCTGGTCAGAGGTCCGGAGGGCTGGAGGTCCATCGCAGTGGAGCCATCAGAACATCTGGGTCAGACGATCCTTTCCTCTAAACTCACGTTGATGTTAAAACCGTTTGACTCGACGTGTTAGTGAGCGTCAGAACGTTCAGCTGATCCAGGAGGAGGGCGCTGTAGCTTTAGATCGTTTGTAATATTTGTACTTCTCAAAATATTTACTCAAATCCTTCAAAACCATCATCGACATCTGCTTCAGCTGCTGGCTCCGTTCATGTGTTTTTAACTCCCTTTAGCTTTTAACTAGTTATTTGTTTAGCTTTTAGCTACTGTTCTACCACTGTCACCTTCAAGCTAACCTTTTACCACTTTTAGCTAGCATTGTTAGTTTTTGCTTTTATTTAGCATTTTGCTGTTTTTAGCTTCTAGCGGTGGTGGGCACAGCTAACCAGAAATTTAGCTTTGCTAACGCTAAACCGCTAAACATGTAAAAAGTATTAGCGGAAGCTAATGCTAATCCGCTAACCGCTAAGACGACAGTCACTCGGTCTGCGCCACGTTTTCGTCTCCTTCCAATTGAAGCTGCGTCGACCAATCACGTCCCACCTCATCAGCCAATATCGCGCCTAACGGACTTTATGAGACACGCCCACAACAGACAGGAACTAGCTCATGAATTTTGTTAGCTGACTTAAAGTTGGTGAAACCTAATTTAGCTGATTCCACTAACCAAGTTCCAAAGTTAACAAAAATACTAATCCGCTAAACAAAAAATTGGCTTTGCTATTAGCTGTTAGCAGAATTGTGCGCACCACTGCATTTTAGCTGCTGTTGTGCTACTTTTACCTGACCTTTTGTTAACCATTTTAACATTAAACTAGCAATTTGCTACTTTTAGCTAGCCTATTGCTATGTTCAGATTTAAGCTAGTCTTTTTGTTTCTTTTAGCTTTAAGCTAATGTTTTACCTTTTGCCTAGGCTTTAAAAAAAAAAAAATCAGCTACTTTAGCTCCTGTTAGCTTTTAGCTATTTTTTTCTTTTAGCTAGTATTGTTTTTAGCTTTTAGCTAGTGTTTCTTTTGTCTTTTATCTACTGTTCCTCGTGTTAGAATTTTAGCTAGCTTTTTTCTTTTAGCTTTAACAACACTTTTCAGCTTCTTCAACCCTCACACTGAACTTTAGCTGTTTTTCCTGATGTAAAAGCTAAATAAACTAAATCTAAATTTACCGCTCGCAGGAGTGCGACTACACCACACGTTGACCCGTCTTCCTGCGGGAGGAGCGGTGATCCACGGAGGACGCGCCTCGCCGCTCCGCCCAGTCGAAGGCCTTTTCAAGTTGACCTTTGAACCCCGCCTTCTCCCGGCTGCCGCGGAGCCGACGTGCGGAGACGCGCTGAAGGTTTGCGTGGAGCCGATGATCTGTACAGGAAGTCCTCCGTCGCCGAGATGGCGGCACACTTCGGCTGTGGTCCAACACAGAGGTGACGAGAAGCGCCGCGTGGCGTTTGGGTTCCTGCTGCTTAACGTCTGACGGACTTCACGCCAGAGCCTGAAGCTTTTAACGACATCAGCTGTTGTTTTCCAGGCAGGGACTTCCTGTTCGTGTTTGGTGGAAAGAACCGGTCAGATTCCGTCCTGGGCGATGCCTTCTTCCTGTGTTTGGACCGGCAGAACTGGACTGAGGTCTCTGAGGGACACAAACACGCCTCTTTGTTAACTCTTGGTCAGAGCTCGTTTTAGTCTCTTTGAAAAATTGAACCGAACTGAAAATGCTTATCGCCCGCCGCCTTTTAATGACCGTTTAAATCACGATCATCTTCTGTTTTGATCAAATCTTTGTAACGATTTTATTCACAGTCACATTCAGTACTCAAGATGTCTCAGAGCGGGGGGGCGGGGGGTACAAGAACTCCAGGTGCCCGACGTCTTTTCTCAGTTGCAGGTTCCTCAACAAGCGTTTGATCAGTTTTTTCAAATCAAAATCAAAGATTACGGAAAAATTCAAATGAGTATTTTTTTGCTTCAAAGTTGGTCGGCCGTCGCGAGAAGTCAGCATTATTTAAAGAACGTTCAGTTTTTAAGCAGAACGATAAGTTGTAAGAAATCATCCTGGCGGTCCTGATAAGGTGTTGTTAACCTCAGACAGAGCGCATGTTAGTGACTCTCAGCTACTACCACCACAAGTGTTAGCTCAGTGCCCTACGGTCGTCAGCAGCTATAAAAATATATATTTTTAAAACATTATTGATGTTATTGACCCAGAAGAATAAAATGTGCAACAAATCATTTTTTCGGTTCAAAGCTTCCATTCTTCCCCCGTTTGTTTCCCACAGATCCCAGTAGACGGCACCGCACCAGCAGCTCGTCACTCCCACTCGGCCTGTTCCTATCAGGGAGGCGCGCTGGTGTTCGGCGGGCTGAGCCCACGGGGGACGCCCCTGGGGGACACCGCTCTGCTGAGGCAGACTGAAACTGGCTTCCTCTGGGAGACGGTGGACGTGCGGCCCCCTCCTGTTCCCAGGTCAGACCCAGGTCTCAGAGCTACAGAGCACAACTCGTAAAGTTCCTGTAAAAACTGCTGCGTGCGCCTTCAGGTGCTCCCACTGCGCCCACGTGGTCGGTGACAAGCTGGTCGTGGTGGGAGGGGTGTGGTGGAGCTCGGAGGGGGTGCCAGGTGTCGTTGTGATCGACCTGAACACCTGCAGCAGCCGGGAGTTCAGCCTGGACACGGTCAGTTTCACAGTTCACGCTTCAACGCTGGGGATTCACACGAGTGTTGAGTATTTTGATAAGGCGTGTACGTCTGTACTCAGAAAAACGTGTACTGATACTACGTCACCGCAGTCCGACGCCCGCCTTTCAGGTCCTGTGTACACGCTGCGCTTGAGTAAATCTGCAGCTTTTCTGCCGCGGTTCGGCCGTACGTGCACACGACAACAGTCCCCGTTCTCTCTGAAACAGAAGTTTCTAAATACAGGTGTCAAAGTGGAACCCCCCCCCCCCCCCCCCCAGCAGAGATGCACACTGCAGGTGGCTGCAGTCAAGTCTTTCTGCACAGTCACAATAAACATGATAGCAGAATGTTTTGTGCTGTAGCAGCAAACCAACAACACCCTCGGTCCAAAGGATCGCTCATGTATTTACCTGTTTGGATGCAACTACTGACGTCAAGGTTGCCAGATAAAGTTTGTTTTTTACTCCCTCCTCAACACTTTCACTCAGCACATGTGCGTTTGGGTCAAAACACATTAATTCTTAATGTCATCATTTCTTATCTGGCAACCCGCCTAGAATAGTAACTGCAGTTTCTGTTAAACACACTTTTATTTTTTTACATTCGCCCCAATAAACATAAAAACCACTAATGTTTCCAGAGGACGTTTCCATGTGAACAGATCCTGTCGGACAAAAATCACATTTCTTACACAAATTAAATATAAAACATTTTATTTCTCATCGTGCCTCACCTGACCACATGTCACTGATCAATACTTGTATCAGTACACGGTATGCTAAGTACTTGTACTTGGTTAAAACTAAATGTGGCATCAGTGCATCCCGACCTGCTGTTAGCGAAATATCTCCTGACCAGATTCTCCTGCAGCTTCAGGGCTGGGTGCACGTCCACGGCTGATAAATGTTGACTGGTGTGTGTGCAGAGCTCCGTGCCCTGGCCTCTGATGCTCCACTCCTTCTGCTCCGAGCTCACGGACCCGTCGGAACCAAAGCTGCTCCTGATCGGAGGAGGGGGGAACTGCTTCTCCTTCGGGACTCATCTGAACCCTCAGCTGGTCTCGGTGGACCTCAGACCAGTTCTGGACTGAAACACGTTTCAGTCATCCTCGTGCTCAAAATAAAACGTGTTTTTGTAGAAATCTGTCCCGGTGTGTGTGTGTGTGTGTGTGTGTGTGCACGTGTTTCCTCTCGACACTTCTGCACAACAACCACTTTCATAAACCTTTGTCTTTAGTGCAGAGCGCTTGGATAAAACGTTCACGCCGTCTGTTAAAGTGGGAGACAACGGGGGAAAACCCACTGGGAAACGGGCTTCTGTACATACTGGGTTTAACCCAGTATGTACAGAAGCCCGTTTCTACCACTGTAATAAAAAATGAGTAATAACAGAAATGTGTCTTTAATAACAGCATAAAAACATTCTCACACAAATAAAAGCAGGAGTCATTTTGAGATACAAGTAATAATCTTGAGTAAACTCAGTTATGAGGCGAACTCATAAATTTAAGACGCTAAGTCAGAATTATGTGACGCAAAGTCATGATGAAAATATTCAGTCCCAGTTTGGAAATAAGCCGAGTCCTAATTTTAAACCGTTATAATGTTAATATAACTTTAAACTAATGATTGTGCAATATCTTTAGATATGGTACATTATTATGAAATAATTTTCAAAGCTGTCTGTTATGAGACATTAAGATTTCGTGATAGTGTCACAGTTTTAAGCTTTCTGCATAAATCTGATTCTCACCCCTTTAAATTTATTCAGGGTAAAGTATTTTTTATAAACTCAAAAGAAGATACAAAAAATGTAACAATAAAACGTGACACAAATGATATTTTTAAAAACATTTTTATTGAACAGCTCCTACAGAAGGAAGCTGACGAGCGGCTGTCAGCTTGTCATACTGCATCAGGAACTGGTATGAAAACCAGACAAGACGTTGGCGATTGTCAGGACTGCTCAAGCTTTTATTTTGGTAAAATAAGAATAATACTGGCAGAGGCAGAAAAGCACTGTGCTAGTCGACAACGTGTTCGTGTGCTTATCAGACGAGGTTCAGTTCCTCAACGTGCACATTTTAGTCTCCATCCAAAGTCGTACGTCAACGCAGGGACAACAACGTTTTCATATCAGTACCTAAGCTACAACACAAGTTCACACACAGGTCCGGAGACACTGCTTCATTATTGCCAACACGGTTTGGGGTTTTTACTGGAAGTACTTCAGGAGGTTCTGGTCTCACAAAGAAAACTATCGAGAATAAATTAAGACGAAAAGGAAAAAAACCTGGAAGGAGAGAAAACGGTCTCCTGAAAATCGTACAGAATGACGTCACACGATAACAAAAGATAAAATAATTTCTGATGGCGTCTGTATGGAAGAGAGGCCCACTGCAAATATTTATTTCAAAATTAAGATTTTTTTTGTGGCTCTTCCGTACTTCAGGTAACTCCACGCCTGTTTGTCCAGGTTTAACCTTCCAGTGAGTCACGGCCTTGAATTTAAATTTAACTTCTGCTTAAATAACCTTAAAGTGTGAACTGGCTACAACTTGAACAGAAGGTGCTCGACAAAACGTTCCATTAAAAAAACAACAACTATTGGTTGTGATCAGTGACGGGAAAGAAACAGAAACCTTCTTCACCATGAGCTGAAACCATGAGAACCTCTCCATCTCTGACTGGAGTCCAGGAAGTATCTGAATTGAACCAAAACACGATAAATCTGGTGAATTTCATCAAAACCTTCAAGTTATTTTGTGACTTTATTTTTGATTCTTGGAGAACGAACCCTTGAAAAATCTGAATATTAAAAAGTGTAAATAGAAAATGGTATAAAAGAAGTCAAATGGAACATCAAGGCACTGGACATGTTTAAGATGATGGCACATCGCTGGTAGGCAGACGAATGGGGGGGGGGGGGGGGGGTCAAGGCCGTTATTTTAGATTTAAGTGCTGGAAGTACAGAACTGGTACCGTCGAGTTAGAGAAAATAAAAAGCAGAAAGAACCGAGCCGAGATGACCGTTCATCACCAGAGGAAGAACTCATCTGGACACGTGTGGACATGCACTGCAGGGGACACGTGGAGGACAAAAACACGTCTCGCCTCAACTTCTGGTCCCCTCCACACCACCAGGAGCATCTCCGTTCCTTCACAGGGCCGTGCAGCCAGGGAGGGAAAGCCTCGTGGCTCATTTTGATCCAACGGCAGCAGCAGGAGGGTTCAAACAGCCGGCGCTGTTCTTTTATTTAGACGGACGCTTTCCAAAGTTGTGGTCCGGGGCCTCGATGTGGGTCGGGCAGCATCAGGCTCAGGGTCCAGAGATGATCTCCAGAATTAAAAGTAAATCTGTTGGGGAACTTTTGGTCAAAGTTTATGAAGGATTTTAACTACCATGGCAGAGAATGTTAACTCTGCCCATGAGCCATATGTTTGGATCAGCAGAACTCTGAGGCTGCAGCCGTCGCTGCACGGACGCCTCCGAGTCTGTGAGCTCGGCTCAACGGAGAGGACTAAAAACGAGCTGCGCACACGGCTCGTGGCAGATTCTCCTGACTCTGTGTACTTCCTGTATGTGTGTACTTCCTGTATATGTGTACTTCCTGTATGTGTGTACTTCCTGTATATGTATACTTCCTGTATGTGTGTACTTCCTGTATGTGTGTACGTCCTGTATATGTGTGTACGTCCTGTATATGTGTGTACTT